AGTACCCCCACTCGCCTGATCAAAGATCGACCTCTACTAATCATGATATGATTCTTATCAACATTATATGCTCTTGTTCCAGTTTATTAGGCTAGAATTTACTATGTGATACGCGCACACAAGGTATAGACTAGTTTGTCCGAATTGAAACAATTCAATTTCATGTTTGTTTTTCGAAAAGGGTTTGAGTTTGCCACATAACAAAGTAGGCTTAAAGTTTGCGAATTTGCCACTTGACAAAGTGGGTTTAAATGTACACCCATTGAATCATTCCAATTCAAGCAACATGCCTTCATCCACAGGCACTCAAACATTTTAACACGTAAGAACTTAACCTCATGGCAAACATGCTAATCATGGCAATCACTTACACTCATGCAAATATGCTAAAGCACTAAAAACTCACCTAGTACTCCAACCTAAGATAAAACAAAAGAGTTAGAAAAATATGCATGACACCAAACTATGCAAGATAGCTAATGCCACGCATGTAATAATGCAACTAAAATAGGTTCAGCTACTTAACATGTCATTTACAACAATTTGGCGGTCTAAGCACGTATTCAAATAAGTATTGAAATGACAATACAGTTACAATGATGAACCAAGCCTTGATGCATGTAAGACAAATGAATGAATGCAAACATGCAATATGCTATTTAAAACGTGATGCCCCTAATCTAACCATCAAAAGCGGATAAATAAAAAAGAGAAAAGACATGGGTTGGAAGACATACACATTATTATAACATTTGATCCCTCACGCAGAAGGGTGCGAATCTATGTCCGAAAGTCTAAATTAAGCTAACTATTATAAAACCGAATGAATGAATAATAATTAACTTAACTAAACTAATTAACTACTTTATTACAACAATTGAATCAATTAACTATTCTAGTTAACTAACTAATTACAAAATGAATTTAAATAACTAATTGACTAACTAATTAGTTACAACACTTTGCAAATTAAGTAGCTACAAACCAATTAATTACAACAAGATTAATTTACATTCTACAAAATGCGTAAGTGAAAATGGATGAAGGTTGCATGCACAGCGCCTGAGAGCTACTTTGTCTGCCCAAGCCGCCTCCATTTCACGTTCAGCCACTGCCTCTATTTCCTACAAAACTGCACTGCTGGCCACCTACTAAGGGCCCACCATGCATCACTGATGGCTGGTCGGGCCTACAGAAGGCTAGCCATGCATTAATTTGGTGCAAAGTTCTATTTTTGTGTTCTGAGGTGAACCAGTGCCGATAGAGCATCCTCAAGCTCTGTTTGTCCCTTTCTTCCTTCTCTGTCATGGGAAAGCCTCGAGAGAAGATTGAAATTGATTCCAAAGCCATCAATGAACAACATGATTGCTTGATGGTTTCGAATGCAATTTTGGACAAAAGTCTATGAAATGCAAATAATAAGACCACCCCTCCCTCTTGTCATAGTATGAACTCAAAGAGGGAGGTTGCAACGCTTCAAGAATTGTAACGACCTGAAAATTGGGTAGGGTATATCTATTTATACTATAAAACCCACCTGATAGATAAACACATATATATAGCTAACTATTCCATACATCTATTTCGATTAAATCTCAAATGCCAAATACATGCTATTCACATCTCAATGCCCCAGTTCCAATCCCAAGCATACATTTTACAACAAGTATGAAATGAAAGCCGAACAGATAATAAGTGCCCTACAGGCTTACAAACTTATCCAAGAACATTCTTGGTTACACAAAATGGAGTTTGAACTCAACGCAAATACAACCTTAGACTTACATTCAACAAATAACAATAAAACAAAAATAAAACCTCAGCTTCGAGTCCTCCCAAGTCAATGCTTTAGCGGAGGCAAAACACCTGTATGTGAAATGGTTTCCCTTATAGGGTGAGCCACAACCTAGTAGAGATATACTACACAACATATGGACCATGACAAGACTAAAGAAGAGTATGCTCATGCCATGATCATGATAAAACAGTTTTTCTCTTTTTATAAAGCATGCAATGCTGAGATACAACAACAGATATAAAACCAATTCCATTTTAAACCATATATGTTATGTTAGGTGAATACAGGCTCCATGAATTTCTAAGTAAGTGTCTGTAAGTAAGCCCTAATGCACTATCACTGTCATTTTTACCAGTAAACTAGAAGGCTCGACACGTAACCGCGCAGTTGCACACCCCCTACCTAGATTCACCAAGTATTCATCTTTTCTCAAACAAATACATTTCCAAACATTTCTCAAAAACAGATACATTTCCAATGAAATGAATGTAATACAATGTCCAATGCAACAAACGAGGAATGTAGTTCAATTTACCTAAGTCTCATGCATTTCTACAACAATCATTGATATCCTCTACCGATAGTCCAAAATAGAAATTTCTAAACAGATATTTAGACAATTAAATTCCAAAAATTCTGATAAATACAATCTATTCCACATCTCATCAAATATGAACAATTACACTAGTTTTCATATCACAATCACGCTCGGTAACCTCTCAAGGTCCATTTCTAACCGTGTCAATTTTATTCCAACAGATACATTAAGCAAAATAATACATTTAATGCCCTAGAAAACATCATTTTCTTTCCAAACTCATTCTCCAAGCATTATTCAACAATGACATCCTATTTTGATCAAAAGTCCTAAAAGTTAAACATAATTCCTTTGTTTTCTTTAAAAATGCTCTTTTGGTCGCAAACCGGTAAAAATTTCAAAACCGATCAAATCGAAGTTCATTTTTGTTCAAATTTAAAACATAACTCTTTCATAACCTTATAGACATATTCCAAGCTTACACTTTCGCAATTTGGGCATCAACCCCTTATTTTTCTCAAAATTTTCCTTTTAAGCAAATAAATCACAAATTTTCCAAAAATTCTAATTAAATTATATACAACTCTAAGCTCCATATAATCAAGTAAAAGTGCATGTCTTCCAACCCCACTTCTTTCTCCCTTTTATTTATCCGCTTTCGATGGATAGATTAGAGACACGTTTCAATTAGCATACCTTATGCTCACATGTGTGCATCATTCATTTGTCTTGCATGCACTGAGGCTCGACGTATAATTCAAACTGCATTGTATTTCAATACTTATTTGAATACGTGTTTAAAGCATGTTATCAAATTGTTGCATTCATATGTCATCTTAGATAGCCGAGCCTATTTAAATTTCATTATTGCATGTGTTGCATTAGGCATTTTGTATAGTTTGGATCATGCATATTTCTAACTAACTTTTGTTTTGACTTGGAGTACTCAGTGAGTTTTATACTTTAGCATGCTTGCATGTGTGTAAGCGACTGTCATGATAACATGCTTGCCATGAAGCTATTTGCTAAAGTAATTAACTGCATGAATGCCTGTGAATGAAGGTTTTGTTGCTTGAATTGGAATGATTTAACAAATGTGAGTTTTAAGCCCATCATGTTTGATGGCAAATCTGCATTTTAGCCCACTTGAGAGTGGTATTTTCAAATCATTTTCGAAAACAAACATGAGTTAATTTGTTCCAAGCGACTTAGTCTATACTTGCTTGCGAGCATACATAGTAAAGTTAGCTAATAACCGGAATAAAAACGCATGTGTTTATAAAACAACATATCATGTTTAGTAGAGGCCGATCTTTGATCAGACGAGCGGGGGTGCTCATTTCAGAACCTTCCCCTCTTGTACCCAAGTTCCCAAACCGAGGCAACTTTACTGATAACGGACACGTGGCCTTTGGCACGAGTCAGGGTTTCCTAAATTTCCCAAAAACAAAATATTTAGGTGGCGACTCTGTAATCTGGCAAAGCAGTCCAATTTTGGCATTATTTGATTCAAAATCGATTTTCCAAAATGATTTGCCAGATTAGACTCTTTGGTGTTTATCAGTCTCACATTTCACTTTGTGAGATTAGATTCAGAACCGTGACAGGAGTCCAAACTGTAGAACCAATTCGAGCTCTCCAAAAGGAGGCGCAAAGAAAGTCAAGCCTACAAATACCAAGATAGTACTAAAATACATTAGGTTGTTATTCATTGAAGAAGTGGTACTTGAATGGATTTTGCACTCTTTCTGGAAGAACAAATCAAGTCTGGAAGGATCAATCTCTAACTCCACTACAATCAAAATTCCTAGAAAGTCCCTGCTACAATTGCAAATTAACAAAGGGAAATGTTGAGAAGCAATAATTCTAGCTAGAAGTACTACCAGAAAAATTTAGGCATGTCAATACAAACACCAAAAATTACAAAGATAATTAAAAATTCAAATTAACAATAAAAAATTTAGTTTACTTTGCCAACCACAAACAAAGACACAAAATTAACTAAACAAAATCAATAAATATGCAGGTTGTATCTACACACATATATGTACATATATGTTTTTTGAGCATATATATGTTTACCATTTTATCAATGGATTCAGCAGAGGATGTCATGACAAGCATGTCAAGCTAGTTTGTTCAAATTTCACTATAGGTATGGATCATAAATATTATACTAATATAACCGAGAAATAAATTAGATGAGATAAAATGAAATAATATCAAGATTAATAGTAAACAGATCAAAAGAGTTCAATTATCTTACCATCCAAATCCAATACTAGGGTAGTGGATTTCATTTTCTGGTGTGATCATGGATATGCTTTACATATACAAAAGATATTTCAAAATCTAAATATTTTAGTTCAATTTTTGCAGAACTAACCACCTTGTTTGGTTTAGACTGATTTTTTGAAAGTTAAGATTTTTAAAAGATGGCATAAGCTGATGCCCTATTCTAGCCATTAGAGCAGAAGAATTGATCAATATAATGTAAGAATATCATTCTCGTAAGAAGTTGCCACAACAACTATAGTCACCAAAAGCCAAAGAACCAGAAAAACAAACAAAAACCCAATGAACCTTCAACCTTGTGATCACATTTTTTAGAAAATCACCAATCCATCATCCAAGTTTCAAAGATCAAAACACAAAATCAATAACTTCACTTGTTAATGAAGAATTAATTGCTTTCACCAACCAAGCCACACAAACCTTAAACAAGACAATGACATCCACCTAATTTGAGACTCACAAAGAAAGTTAAAGTGGCATACTATTTGTCAAAGTAAAAATGTGAAATAGGATGCTGCACCCAAAATTATACAATGCTTGCATATATATGGCAAATCTACATAAAAACTAACGTCGAATAAGATAATGGGTCCGCCTTAGGATGCATAGAGTTTTCTTGCTTTATCATGTCCACAACCTTGGCTGTAAATTGCTTCATTTCCACCTAAAACAGAAGAACAATGAGCATATTTAGGCCATCAATTTAAAATTTAATAGCAGGACAAAGTGAGAGGGAATACCTTGAATGGCTCATTATCAATTTGAAACTGAATTCCAAGTAAGAAATGCAACCAAAGAGCAAATCCACTGTTCAAAAACAGAGTCTATAAGGCAAAGTTCACTGATAACTTAAGCGGTGTAGTGGATCTAGATAAGCTTCTAAAGCTTAAAAATCTGATCTGTCTTGATCTCTCACATAATGGTTTCTCATTGAGCATCAACAACAGTGTCAACTCTACCTTGACTAATTTTGAAACTATAAGATTAGCTTCTTGCAACTTGAGCGAATTTCCAAATTTCTTGAGAGAACAAGCCAGATTGCGTTTTCTAGACCTTTCAAACGACAAAATTCATGGTGAAGTTCCAAAATGGTTATTCAGTGTGGGGAGAGATTCATTGCATAATTTAAATCTTTCTCATAATTTCCTTACAAGTTTAGAGCGTCTTCCATGGAAGAATCTGGGATATATTGACCTGCACTCCAACTTACTCCGAGGACCACTCTCTGTTCCACCTAACACCACATATGTTTTCTCTATCTCAAACAATAAATTGACCGGAGAAATCCCTACATTGATTTGCAATCTAAGTTCACTTGGAATTCTTGATCTGTTTAATAACAATTTAAGTGGGTTGATTCCACAATGTTTGGGAAACTTCAGCAATAGCCTCTCGGTGCTGAATTTAGGGATCAATAGCTTTCGTGGCACATTTACTGCAACATTTACCAAAGGCAACGTGCTAAGGAATCTTAACTTGAATGGCAACCAAATTGAATGACAAGTTCCGCGATCGTTGCTCAATTGTAAACACTCGGAAGTTCTAGATCTTGGAAAAAATAAGATAAATGATACATTCCCTCACTGGTTGGGAACTCTTCAAAACTTGCAGGTTCTTGTCTTGAGATTTAATATATTTTATGGTCCTATAGACACCTTTAAGACCAAGGGCAAACATCATTTCCCCAAGTTGAGAATTATCGACATATCTTACAATAAGTTCACGGGGCTTTTGTCACCAAACTATATCAAACAAGTTGAAGCTATGATGAATGCGGATGAACATGAAATAAAATTAAAATACATGGGTGAATACTATTATCAAGACTCTATGGTGGTAATGATGAAAGGATATGAAATTGAATATTCAAGAATCTTAACGGTCTTCTCAATCATTGATTTTTCAAGAAACAAATTCCAAGGAGACATTCCGAAATCCATTGGGAGGCTTAATTCGCTTCGGGATCTTAACTTATCCCAAAACAACCTCAAAGGTCACATCCCAACTTTACTTGGAAATTTAACGAACCTTGAATAATTGGACCTTTCCTCAAACGAGCTTGTTGGGGAGATTCCTCAGCAATTGACAAGTTTGAAGTTTCTTGCCGTACTAAACCTTTCGGATAACCAACTAGCGGGACAAATTTCTTAAGGGAGCCAATTTAATACATTTGGGAATGATTCATACAATAGGAATTTGGTATTGTGTGGATTCCCCTTATCAAAGAAATGTGAGGAACAGCAACCATTGCCACCTCCACTAACATTGCAATATGATGAAAATTCAGATTGGGAGGGCAGATTTAACTGGATTCCCTTTATTGTGCTACTTGATTGAACAGATCTAGTTTTGAAATAAAAACATTAGCAACTCAATAATAGCATATACATAGAAACCATAAAAGATAATTCAACAAAGTAATGCTTCAAAGATAAATTCTACTTACCTAAATGACGCAATTTGTTTTTTGCTAATTTCTTCCTTTACTGCATCAGTGAGCACTCTTCTTGGATCTTTTCACCTTCTTACATTGTTTTTCTTCAACAATTTTCATCAGCCATTCTGGACTTCGAGTTACTAACATAAGATATCCCATAACCATTCCAAATACAAAGCCACATCCATACCCCATAACAACAACTTTCCAGTTAAACCTGCCCTCCCAATCTGAATTTTCATCATGTTGCAATGTTGGTGGAGGTGGCAATGGTTGCTGTTCCTCACATTTCTTTGATAAGGGGAATCCACACAAGGCCAAGTTTCCATTGTATGAATCATTCTCAAATGTATTAAATTGGCTCCCTTGAGGAATTTGTCCCGCTAGTTGGTTATTCGAAAAGTTTAGTACGGCAAGAAACTTCAAACTTGTCAATTGCTGAGGAATCTCCCCAACAAGCTCGTTTGAGAAAAGGTCCAATGATTCAAGGTTCGTTAAATTTCCAAATAAAGTTGGGATGTGACCTTTGAGGTTGTTATGGGATAAGTTAAGACCCCGAACCGAATTAAGTCTCCCAATGGATTTCGGAATGTCACCTTGGAATTTGTTTCTTGAAAAATCAATGATTGAGAAGACCGCTAAGATTCTTGAATATTCAATTTCATATCCTTTCATCATTACCACCACAGAATCTTGATAATAGTATTCACCCATGTATTTTAATTTCATTTCATATTCATCCGCATTCATCATAGCTTCAAATTGTTTGATATAGTTTGTTGGCAAAAGCCTAGTAAACTCATTATAAGATATGTCAATAATTCTCAACTTGGGAAAAGGATGTTTGCCCTTAGTCTTGAAGGTGCCTATGGGACCATGAAACATATTAAATCTCAAGACAAGAACCTGCAAGTTTCGAAGAATTCCCAACCAGTGAGGGAATGTATCATTTATCTTATTTTTTCCAAGATCTAGAACTTCCAAGTGTCTACAATTGAGCAAGGATCGCGGAACTTGTCCTTCAATTTGGTTGCCATTTAAGTTAAGATTCCTTAGCACGTTGCCTTTGGTAAATGTTGCAGTAAATGTGCCACGAAAGCTATTGATCCCTAAATTCAGCACCGAGAGGCTGTTGCTCTAGTTTCCCAAACATTGTGGAATCAACCCACTCAAGTTGTTATTAGACAGATCAAGAATTCCAAGTGAACTTAGATTGCAAATCAATGTAGGGATTTCTCCGGTCAATTTATTATTTGAGATAGAGAAAACATATGTGGTGTTAGGTGGAACAGAGAGTGGTCCTCAGAGTAAGTTGGAGTGCAGGTCAATATATCCCAGATTCTTCCATGGAAGACGCTCTAAACTTGTAAGGAAATTATGAGAAATATTTAAATTATGCAATGAATCTCTTCCCACATTGAATAACCATTTTGGAACTTCACCATGAATTTTGTTGTTTGAAAGGTCTAGAAAACGCAATCTGACTTGTTCTCTCAAGAAGTTTGGAAATTCGCTCAAGTTGCAAGAAGCTAATCTTATAGTTTCAAAGTTGGTCAAAGTAGAGTTGACACTGTTGTTGATGCTCAATGAGAAACCATTATGTGAGAGATCAAGACAGATCAAATTTTTAAGCTTTAGAAGCTTATCTAGATCCACTACACTGCTTAAGTTATTTGATGAAAGCCGCAAGTATGTTATTTAATTCTGCTCCTCGCAACATCAACTTCAGTTCATCTTCAGTAACATACGGTTCACTAGTACCTGAAAATTGACAAGGTCAATTGACAGCATTATCTTATAGCCACAATTTCATGAAAAAATTGCCAACCAATAACACTGAAAGTTTACAATTGAGTATCGAAGAAAAAATTAGCCACACGCGGAAAACATGCAGAACAGAATACCATATAGGAAGTAAAAAAATAAATGATAAGCATACAGATTCACATGACTTGTATTCACTGCAAACTTCTTTCATCCTCTCCTACTGCTTATATTCACTATTCACATGACTTGTGATGCAAAACACCACACAAACAACTAGAACATCCTTATAACCACCAATAATAAAAATTGCAAAGTAACAAAAGTTCAGATATTGTCAAGGCGTCCTACAGAAAATGTCTTATTCATGATTTTTCTAAATTTATTTGCTTCACCAAATCCTTGAAATTAATAATTATTGTTGATGAAAAATTGCCTTAGAAATAACAAAAACATCCAAGAAAATACTAGGGAGAGTTATGCTTAGGTCTTAATAGATGAACTTATTGTCCAATAGATCCTATGATAATTAATGACATTTTTCATCAAACACTATTAAAAAACAGTCACTAATTATTAATTTTCAACGACAGTTTGAAAATTGTCCCAAAAACACCACTAATTATAAGTTTTAGCGATAATTTAAAAAAATCGTTACAAAAAAATGTCACTAATTTACAACTTTTAGCAACAGTTTGAAAATTTTATCACAAAAAAACGTTATTAATGGTAAGTTTCAGCGACAATATATAAAAAACCGTGACAAAAAAATGTCACTAATTGTCAATTTTTAGTGACACGCAAAAAATCGTCACAAAAAATTATTTTTAGCGACGATTTTTCTAGGACTTATTTTCAATAAGACTTGATGAGATTTAAGTCTATCTATTATGACCTATTGGTAGTTTACCCAAAATACTAATAGAAACTTGAACAGCACTGGAAACATCACCAATAAAACAACATACCATAAAGACCAAAAGAAATCATCAAAAGCAGCTATCTTTTCTTCCCTCTTTCGATAAAGATACTAGATACAACATGACATAGAAGTAATGTAATGACCCCAAAAGTCATCCTTATTTAATTAGGGGTTAATGTGTTTTAATTCAACTATATCTATCGAAATTAAAGAATTATTTGCTGAGTTATGGCGACCTTTATTGTATCGGCTTGAAATTTTTTTTCCCTCCGCTCGAGCGTGGGCTCATTTTTGACATTCTTAATAGTGTATTTGGAATGTTCTTACCTTATTTTGGGGTATTGTTTGAGGTGGTGGTATGATGGTAAAGTAAGATTGGACCAACGAATATAATTCAGATAGTTAATCTACGATCAGCCATCATTCATTTGCCCTTTTCTTTTTCCACACTTTGAATTTGGATGTGAGGTTAGAACCATTGGAAAGCTTATCTCCGAGGCTTCAATTTGACCACAAGAATGACCTAAAACGGAGTCCGAATGAGAGAGTTATACCCGTTTGAAGTTTTCACATCTGTGTTGGAAGCAGATCCGCATGTGCGGGGAATAGCGGCGCACGTGCGGGACTGTGCGGGACATCAGCTCAAAAACGTGATTTTTGGACCATTTCTTACATTTTCTTTTCCTCTCTTCTTCTCCCCTCCTCCATGTCCGAAACCCTAGCTCCCTAAACCTTGATTTCCTCTACTTTGATCACCAATCCACCATGGTTCTTGCATCAAGGATGGAGAACAAGAAATGATCAACATTTTTAACCGATTGGAACTTGGATTTGCGAAGGATTCTCATTGAAGCTTCATCCCTTTGCTTGTTTCTTGAGGTAGGATCCTAGTTCTCCTTCATGCTTTCATTGATAGATAGATTTGTGATACTTTGGAGTATATAAATGTAAAACCCATATTTTTAATTTTTGAACATCTAGTGTAGTGTTTATTATGAGAATTGGGGTTTTAGAATTGGAGATGTTGGAAGTTAAATTGGTGGGTTAAAATGATGGATGGTGAATCCTAGATGTATAATTATTGAGAAAATTGAAATAAAAAGTAATGGGTTAATAAGTTTGAATTTTTCTTGAAATTTCAATATTTTCTTGAAACCCTAAGTTGATTAATGATGATAACCAATGAATTGGCCCAAATTGAAAGTAGAGTAATGAAATTGAGGTATTGAATTATATGTGTTCAAGTTTAATTGAAATTTAGAAATGTTTGAAAATTATGTTTAAAATTTGCGAATGAACTATGTTATGAACATTGTAATTCATGCTGTAATGTGAAGGGAAAATTGGGAAAATAATCTATTAATGATATGGATGATATGAACTCGGTTTTGGAATGTTGAAATGGAATTCAAGGATTTATTTTGAATTATGTTAAATTACAAATGGTGTTGATGAACTAAGTGATATTGACTTTGTTGGATTATGTTGTGTTGACTCATAGTGAATTGAATGGTGTCGTACTATGATGAATTATGTTTGAATTACGTGAATTGTGTAGGGTCAGCTACAGGGGCGGATCAAGCACCTGAACACTGTGAGTAGTAGTACAGAAATGTACATCTTATTTATCGTTGATAATTATTGTCACTAACACTCTGTTCTTTGTAAGTGTTATCAACGTTTATGACAAGTGGAAATCAATATGAATTTTTATGAATATGGAAAGATTTGCGTACGTCCGTATGACTTTGGAACCCTTTTGTTCTGTCAATAACAAGTATTAAACCTCTGTTATTTATCAGTGTATTATGTACTTCTTAAGAATAAATGGAGCTTATGTTCATCCATGAATAATGATACCTATATGAGTCCAAGATTATTTTGTTGTGTTACGTATGGACTCGAGGTCGTTTAGAATCTATGATATGAAAACAAAGGTTTAACATCATTATGTAACCCACGTTAGAATGTAAACTGTTCTGTCATTGCTAAGCATGCTCTATGTTTTAATATGTTACGTTTTGACTTAATGAACAGTTGACCATAAATGTAAAGTATTCATGACGTCCGTAACACACGGCCCTTACCCGAGGGTAATAATACCGTTGTTTAAGTAATTAAGTTACAAGTTTATGTACGTTACAAGTTTAAGTATGTTACAGATTTAAGCATGTTACAAGTATAGGTATGTTACAAGTTTACGTATGTTCTGAGTTTAAGTATGGTACAAGTTCAAGTATGTTATAAGTTTACACATGGTACAAGTTCATGTATGTTACAAATTCAAGTATGTTACGAATATGACTTTTGATTTCTGCTTATGATTTAAGTATAAAAAAAAATATGTATGATTTGATTCTGTTTATGATATGACATGATATGTACGGTTTGGTCTGAAAAACCTATTAATTTCTGGTATGGAGCAAAGTGCTATACGGAACTAAGTGCTGCAGTGCGAGTTACCTGTAGAATCTGTATGAGCCACCTCTTGAGTCCATACATATGTGAAAATTTTGAGGCTGAAAGCCATTCCATGAAAGTTATGAGGCTTATGGGCATCTATATAAGTTGTTATGAAATGAAACAAAGTGCTACACGGAACTAAGTGCTACAATGTGAGTCACCTCTAGAATCCGTGTGAGACACCTCTTGAGTTCATACATGCATGTTTCAAGGGCTTTTATGCCACATGTTTCAAGGGCTTTAATGCCACATGCTTCAAGGGCCTTGTGCAACCATGTTTCAAGGGCTTATAGCCACCATGTTTATGTTGCAAGATTGAACCTAAGACCGTTATGTACTTAGCACAGAATCAGACTAACTATGTGAACTTTACATCTTTATATGCATTGCTATGTGTTATGTTTCAAGTTAAGCATCGTTTTATTTATGTATTACTATTCACTGAGCCCGGCTCACTCTCTGTTATGTCTGTTTCTGTAGGTCACTAATCAGGTGGTCAGTCCTAGCCATGACGCCGCTTTCTTTTGTCAACCTTCGTCTGTCCAGGCACTATACACAGCCATTGATTTTGTTAAACTGATAAGATGTTGGCTTGCTTTTTGAATGTCTATTTAAGATTGATGTATATAGCTTTCATGCTTTTGTATATGCCCAATGATAGGGCTAGATCTGTATATATGCATGTATATAACCGATGTTCAGTTGTATATTTTAGATTTTATTTGTCTGTTAAAAGTTTGTGAACCTGGCATGATAGTAGTAGCTCGATAGAGTTTGTTTCCATTGTCAAATTTTGATATTTAGTGCTTCCATTCAGGCCTCATATATATATATATATATATAACAGGTTAAGTGTCCGTTTCTAAAGTGGTCATGCCCAAACTTCTAGGGGCGGGTTTAGGGTATGACAAGTTACAAAGAGATCAAAGCAGGTTCAAGATAAAGCACACCTTCTTCCTTTCAGACCAAGCATTTTTAGCATTCTAACAACTTTTCCAACAGGATATAATATTAAGGAAAGCCACGCCACTGGCCTGACCTAGAGGCATTGCAAGTGACGCAGGTTAAATTAACTTAAAAGCACTCATATCAACCCATCACACAAGAGACAAAAAGAACTCTTTTATGGTGACTGTCAAAAACTCCAAGTGATCTTTGGTTCAATTCAAAAGAAAGAAGCAACTTCAAGACTTACCACAAACCTAGCAACCTCAGTGACGTTGTGAACAGCTATACTTTATGGAGTAATTTCAGTGAGGAGCACAACAGCAACCTGATATATCATTAAAGGGATAATATCTGGTTTATGACACACATCAATGGCCCCGTTTGGTAGAACTGTGAGAAAGTTATTATAACTTATAACCTAACAGCTTATAGCTTATAGATGTGAACATAAGCTGATTTTTTACTTATAAATTAAGCTTTCTCTTCCCCCACTCAAAAAATAAGTTGATTTTTAACTTACAAAAAGCTATAAGCTGTATTGTTAAGTTGAACCAAACACATCAAAATAGCTTAAATTAAGCTAAAAGCTGAAATAAGCTGGAAATAAGCCCTACCAAACAGGACCAATACATAAATGAGTTTCTATGCAGGTACTAAGTACTAGCTAGAATACAAGAAAGCCAAATATGTATTTAGAGCAAACACAATCTCAGCAACTTTAGACTAACAAATTCTAAATTAGGAGACCCAGTAACAGCTATACGGATTTGACTTTTGAAGAATAATCTTCTATGGCCTAAAGCATTAACGATAGCATGTTTGGGCATTTGAAATCTCAAGCTTTATTTTTATCCCAAAATTTTCGCTATTGAATATATGTCCTTCAACTAATTAAACAAGGAAACTTTTTTTTGGATAAATAATTAAACAAGGAAACTGAGACATACAGTCATCACCCCAGTAGCTGCACTCACACCAGCGTCACCAAATATTGTCGTTGCTGCTTTTGTGACAGGTGCAGTTGCTCCAATGTTTACCACACTGCACATAAATAAAATCTACAATAAGACATAATATTCAGAATCATGTTGAGAGAACAGCACCAATGATGACTGCAAGTACAGGAAGGGCAATACGTTGCGCCAATATGTATAGTTGTTAGGAACCACGTAACATCAATGCTAAGCATTTTGAAAATACTATCCTCAGATTCCTTTTCAGCCAACTCTCGCACCTGGTATACATCAATATCAAATAAACAATGACAAGTTCCTAGTTTTAAAAGAAAAAAACATGCATGTGTGCACATGCACACAAGATTGCAAAATTTCTACAGGCTGCATTCTTTTCTATGATCATTAAAAGATAATAGTAGCCTATAAACATAGAAGCACCCGATTGCATGAACATGTATTAAAAAGAACAGCAGCCTTAAACATAAAAGTAACCAATGGTGGTTTACATACAATAGTACATCCCTTTTTTATAAGCACAATAATACATCCCTTCTGTCTTCAAAAACCTTAAAACCACAGACCATTCTAAGCCTTAACTGCAAATTAAATGTTGTAGATGGCTATTAAACTTCTGACTGTTATCCTACATCATTATATACAAAGCGTATTTTCCATTCAATCACAACTAGCTCCACCATCCATTGATTTTTCAACCTAAAACCTAATTCCTCAACCTCAACTCTCTCCCTGCCTTGTACAACTTAACACCAACTACCCAAAATTAGTTGTAAAAATTCTTGTCAGTTAAGAAATTTTAACAGCCTTTAAATCCAAGTCTATTCTGGCTCTTCCTCACGCTACAAAGTCTAGAACCTTTCTTTCACCCTTTCAAATCCAAATCATAGAAGATATCACACAACACATGCAGTGAAGAAAAAAATTCTGCTCTACAAAATGAAAAGAGGTTCTTTTGACCCCTCGAAGGACTACATGTTGCATTCTCTCCAACATATTAATTGGTTTGGGGCCATACATAACATCTTACTATTAGTCAAACAAGGTATTCTGACCAGTAAATGCAATTATTTTTATTTTTATTTTTTAAAATAAGTGGGGGAACAGGAGAATGGAAAACTGCATCATACAGAGATGAGACCAGCCAACTCTTGGACTCGAATAAATGCACCCCGTAGGGTAGCACTACATCAACTAGCCAACCCTCGTCTCCAACAAATGCAATTAAGCAATAGAAAAATGTGTACAAATTACACTTTACCATTTATCAAGAAAAACTAACAACAAAATTCAGGCATAAGAAGCTGCTGCGGATAAAGAAAATTGAGAAGTGCTTTCATTCACAAATTACACTCTTAAGTACAAACAACATTAAATAGGCATAAACCCAACAACTTGAATTCTTAAGAGTTCATTCCTATCACAAAACAAAAATCTAATATGAAAAGAATAAAAATAAAACTAATCCCCATTAAGAGTATAAAATGTGTACCTTCCAAGGCCAAAGAGTGGTAATTGAAGTTTCAGCCATAGAGAAAAATGCAGAGAGACCCAGAAGAGCAGCAAAAACCAAACCTTGCTCTTTGAAAACCCCAAGAACCTGCGAAAGTTTCGGCCAATAACTCTTCAATAACAATATGTTCTGTCCTATAACCCCATAACCCAAATCCACAACCCCTTCCGCCGCAAAAACTCCTCGGCAACCAAACACTAAAACCCCAACAACAGTAGCAGCCAACACAATGGTTCTCCGATTTACAAAAAACCCTAATTTCAAACTCGTAATCGAGTCTTCAACGCCATGAACCTCACTTTGTTGAAATCTACAAACAAAACCCCGATTTTGTTGGAATCTAGAACTAAACAAGTCGCTGAACAACTCGTTGCAAGCATACGGGACGATGCAATTGGTGGGAATTCGAGAAGAGGAGCAGATTTGAAGGGAAATTCTTGGTGGGTAATCTGATCTGAGGGTGAGAGGAAGGGAGAAATGAAGGGTTGGAACGAGGGAAGAATGTTGATGGATTGAAAAGTGCGGATTCGGCTGCTACTTCCATGAGAATTCTGAACAATGAAAAAGTCGAGAAAAGCTAATTAGAAGGGGGATTAGGTTGAGAGCTTCTCTCTCTAGAATCTAGAGAGAGAAAGCTTTCTCCGTTGTTACCCATGGAGTTTTGAGGGTTCCTTATCAGACTTTTGTCTGGTTTGGGAGGTGATGTGTGTTGTTACTGAATCTGGTCTTATTTTGTCCAGATTTAGAAGGGTTTTAAGTGTTCTGTGGGTCGTTGCTATTTTGGGTGATGCTCTCTGTGCTGCCTCACCGGAGTTACTTGGTGGTCATCACAGAGCGGGGTTTCTATGTGTTTGTGCTGTCGGCGGTGTTATGACGTTGGCTGTGCTTGTGGGCTACGATGTTATCTGGTGCTGCCGTCGTTATTCTTTTTATGGCAGGTTTACTGGAAATGGCGTGCATCTGCCGTGTATCAAGGTGCTCTGGCCGTGAAATGAAGATGCTAGGGTGAAGGTTTGATGACTTGCCGTTAATGGCAGTTGTGTGATCCTCCCCTGGTTTTTGTCTCTTTCGCTGGTGGGTTTTACCCGGCGCCGTTTGCTTCTGTGAGCATAAAGTTGCTGTCGTTTGACGCTGCGGTGATGTGCTTTGCATTGGTCTGTTTGCCGGAGATGGTGACTGGTTTCAATGGTGATTTTTTCCACCAGTGAGGTCGTCGCCGGTTTGGATGAAATGTGCTGTCGTCAATGTATAGAATCTGAAGACCACGCGCTGTCCATTCTTTGGAGTGTTCTGCGTTGTATCGAAATGTGTCTTGATTTCAAGCTTTCCGCCTACAACACAGGTTGGTTGAAAATGAGCTGTTGTTGATGTTACTTCATGGAAAAGAGGACCCATGTGGGTGTACTTTTAGCCCACGGTTTTACCTTAAAACCAGCTCATGGTTTTTGGTCTTATGATTTTGATTTGTGGTGGGGTAGCCCTTCGGCCCGTTGTTTCAAGCGTATGGGGCAGTGGTATATAAAATATATTATATATACATACTAGCGTATGCCCGTGTCTAAAGACACGGTGTAAATAATATTAAGATTAAAATGCAGTTGTAAAAATATATTTAACAGACTGTACTCTACAATTCCAAACAAATCAAATATAAAAAAAATTAAAATATCAAATAATGCACACCAGCCAGTGCTCTGCAATTTAAAAGAAATTAAAACTTAAATGTACACCAGTTAGTGCTACTGCTGCTAATCAAATTATAACTACATAAGAAACAAGTTTGACTGACAAAAAATAAAAATAAATAAATAATATAAAATCCCAATCAACAAATCCAATTGTATAATTGCATTATGTCATGATTTAGAACCAAGTTTGACTCAAAGGCAACGCCGCATCTCATTACCAAACTCTGGATACTAATCTTAAAATGCAAGCTCCCATAGAGACAGTGAGAATATTTTACAAACAGCATGAGCATATTTATAATTTACCCTTTTTTAAGATTTTGTGAAAATTTGAGAATGGAGAAACAATTGCTGGATATGAGTATCCTAACAATTGTTAAATGCAAAGCAAAGCACTAACCAACAAACTCAACTTCATAGAAAGTTTCGGATGTGTAATGACTTCACATCAACCATCTCCTCATCCTTAAATTCCTCCCTGAAATATATTGAAGGCATTCCATCAATTAACCATAAAAAAATAATAATAATAATAAAAATAAATAAAAACTATATACAAAAAATGTTAATGGTGTAGACAAATGCATAGTAATTGAAGGGGAACACTAACACACTGGGTATAATAACAGTTGGTAGAGACCCAGCCTTTCAACGCTTGAAGCTCTATTCATGGGGCTATGGATGGCAGTGTAAAAATGAACTGGTGCACGGAGCAATATGCTATACTATTCAATTCACTTAATTCAATTCAAAGAAACACATAAATATCCCATAAACACATAAGTAACTTGACTTTCAATATATTAAGAAGTTTTAACGTTGCCCCTCTGTTAAATGCATTCACACAAACCTAACTATCTTGGCTTTGTTACGCATTTTAGGACATCAAAATAACAATGGAAAGAGTCTAAATAACATCAATATCAACTGCACAAAGAGGAAACAGTGGATTACTCAACTGTAAGGAAGATGGCTTACCAAGAACAACAGTACCAAAAATGCTCGATTGAAACTTTGTAGAATTCAGATTGCGATTGAAAGACGACACCTGAAACGAAATAAAACAATAATAATAACAACAATGAGAGCAATTTCCATGTCGCACATTGCAATTCATGAGTAGTGAAAACTAAATGACACAATGTGGAAACAAAATTAGAACAAAAATAAATAAATAAATAAATAAATACACATACAACAGAATTAGGTCAAATTTTTATTTTTGACAGTTGTTTTGATGTTAAAAAACAAATTCACTCTAGATTGAATGCAAGGCAACAAACCAGAGATCGGTGGGGAAGTCAATTTTCAAATATAAATGAGTGGTCTTCTAGAAATGATAACATGAAATTTTTAAATGATGCCAACTTCTTTTAGATCTGTCAACATATGCAGAAGCAAAAGCCCCATCCACGAAAAAGCAGTTCCCATCATCTACCACCACCACAGAATTATGGTATATGCCAGCGTATCAATACAGAGCACTATCAAACGACAAATGGGCAGTTCAATTTTCAAATTCAAATGAGACAGTTTTCTAAAAATGATATTTGGGTTCAATTTTGAAAGGATGCCAACTCTGGTCAAGCCGCTAGTAATGAAAACATGGTGACAACAGAATATCTGGAAGAAACAACTACACAGTCACAACACAAACAGAAATATAGGGTAGGAATTACTGGAGAGATCGTAGGCCAACAAACTTCTTCATGTGGCAATTCATCTCAACACACGTCACGGTATTTGAGCAATATAAATGTAGGGGGAAGTGACCTTTGATTTTTTATAAAGATAGAAATTTTTTTCCATGCAGAAGTTAGTTCAGTTGTAGTCTAATTCAGTGCATTTTTCAATATTATTGTCTGTCTACCATCTTAAATATCAACACATCATGAGATGATACTCACCTAATGGTCTTAAATGCAAATATATAAGAAACATGCACACAACAGTGCCAATGAAAATCATGTCAACATTATTACTACATAATTAAGACGAATGGTAAGCCTAGCATATGTTCTTCTTTGGGATATGTTTAACTTCAAACCCAACTTCTCCCACAGTTAAATGCATATAAAGAAAGGGGGGGAAGGGCCTTTCCAGAAACATAATTATGGTTAGCGCAGATACTAAAACAGAACAACAAAAATATTTCATCACATTATTTGAACCTCCAGAAAGCAACAAAAAGTTGGAGTTATTCAGTAAACAGAACCAAATAACCACCAAACATGAACTTTGTCAAATAAAACTACACGACAGACAATTCATGTTACAATTTGCTGATAAGAGCAGAACCAATGTACCTGAACTTCAAAGTAAGTGCAGATATACTTTATGTAAAGATAATTAACAGAACTTATGTTTGCCTTTTATTATGTTGATTTCACTTCCTTGAACTTCTGGAAGCTCAGTTTTTGGCTTATGCAGTTGGGTCTCTGCACTGGAATTAAGAATTATACTGAGTTAAATTCACACTCTTAGATACCTGATTATTGATTATGCCAATAAATCTGTGTACAAAGCAGTGGATCTAAATTTCCACTTTCCTTCACGTCCATGCAGGGACAAAGGTTAAACCGTGAACACTCCTAATGTGGAGTAGCTTGGACCTTGAAGAATTAGAGATGAACATTTACGACAGCCAGCAGGATGGATTGAAGACAGAAAAACACTTAAAAGTGAAAGGAGCGCTGGACTTGTTGATATGGTAAACTCTAAATTCTTAGAACATTTTACAACATTTTCGATCTCAAATTAATGAAGCTGTTTAATTTTTTTAAGGTTTATTTGATATGCTGTTTTCTGTTTCATGGGCATAGTTATAATCTTTTGGAGTGATTAAGGTGTTATTGGCAGTTGAATTTTTTTTCCAATTCAAGTGTATTCTTCCTTTGAGGTTCTGAAGACTTCTACCCCAACAAATTAATTTCAGGAGTCCAATTAAACAAATCGCTCTGTGTGTGTTGCTTTGTCAACATAATTTCTGAAAATAAAGTTAGATCAACGTCACTTTGTTACAAACAAAATGAATTTGCGAAACTTTCTACCAAAGATATATTTTTTACCAAAGATTGCCTAAGTGCAGAACCAATATAATAACACAACCAAAAATATGTATATACACAATGAATTGAAGTACCAACCACAAAGAACAGACACAGCAGACACAACCACAAAGAACAGACACAGCAGAGAGAGAGAGAGAGAGGAAGAAATTGCGATGCCCAAAAGAAAATTATCTGAACCAAAGCATCACCTACTGTTTTCAATGGAGGTTCAGATGATGCTTTGATGATGATAAACAAAAACATTAATTTAAACCATTATAGACCTTAATTCCACCAACAAACAACAATTGGCTCACTGAGAGAGGTACCGAAGGGGGTTCGAAGCAGAGAGAGAAAGAGAAGACAGCAGCGTCAATGTAGAATTTGAGGAAGCTGATGATGATGAAGGTGGCTGTGGTGGTGGAAACCCTAGCCTTCGGTGACCCAATCGAAGCACAATGTCGCAATTCACAATCGGAAACCCTACCTTGCGAGTGGGAGGATTGCGACTTGAAGACACTGAGAGAGAATGGGGGAGAGGCAGAAATCGAGGCCAGCAAAAAGCAAACTCTTCACTTGGCAAATCAATACAGCAAACGCTAACGAACTTAATTTTCCCATCATCTACAAATCAATACAGCCCCAAAACTCCCATTCAGACCTACCCAAAAATCCAAATCACCCAGTCATATTCATTTTGCTTCCAACCTTCAACTAAAAATTGTGAATACGTCTCAATCACCACCACCCCCCCCCCAAGAATTGCCAAAGCAACAATACAATTCATTTCTACAACATACAATGAGAGCAAAACAACTCAACAATACAATTCATAAGACTATTGACACCATAGGTCCATAATCATGTTTATATCAGCAACCTTTACATGAAGAAAAACAATACCTGCTCAAAATGTAGGAACCCCACATTACATAATTTCGCTTCAAAACCTTCTGGGCCATATAGTATGGACTCCCCACAATCTTTGAAAACTTCTCCCCTGAATGAAGATGTAAAGGAAGTTTAAAAAATCATCAAAGAACCCACTCAAACACCATAACATTCTCAACTAAAATATTCAAAGTGACCAATTAAATCAAGAATAACAAATGCATGGAAATAATCAGAAGAATGTCTAATCATTGCCCAAAACATACACCAAGGAATAACAAAGGAACTTTGGGTTCTTTAATATTGGCCAGGAAAAAAGAATAAAAAACATGAAAGAGCAGCTCAAACTTCACCATTCAAAAATCCATGCATAACACAATTCTAGTGAAACATAACATGACTAAAGATATAAGGAAGACATCATACCAAGGAAAGATATATGCCCTGTTTGTGGGTAAATGGTAGTACCAATTTACAAAACTCATCCATGCCATGATGGGTATAATTAACCAGTAATCAGGGAAAGATCGATTTAAAATGCTTAGAAATCGGATTATCTACAGAGGCCTCTTAAATGCTCACATGAAAAATCCATATGGAAAAATTCATTAACAATATTGTAACCCATATGAAAATCAACCAAAATTTCCCAAAATTTCAGCAATTTTTTAATAAAAAAAAAACACTAAGGCTAGAGAAAAGTGATTGATAGCATGCTGGTTATTAAGTGAGGATAGAGAAAAGTCAAAAATATAAGGAATAAAAAATGCGAACATGATCTCTTGCTATTAGAGAGAGAAGGGAGGTTAACCAATGACCCGTACCTAAAAATAATATCACAACATATACAAAGTTTGAACTATCCATCACAAAAATATAATTCTAATTACTTTTACATAATTCAACATATCACTAAAACTAACATCGAAAAACTATTTGTAGTATGATGTGCTTTTGTGCTCGAAACTTTGGTACAACAATTATGTTAAATAAACACAAAAAAAAATGTGGACAAAAAAACAATGCATACAACAACACAACTATAAAAAGAACACATACAACAACACGCATGAGAAAGAATAAGAGGGTACTTCACCAAGAATAAGAGGGTACAACACACAACTATTAAAAGGAAGCTACCATCCATCTATTGAACCTCAAATATCCAAGTAGATCATTTTCAGAGAACTTTATTTTTTCAACACAAAAAATAAAATAAAATAAATAAATACAAAGTGAATAGCTGAAACAAAAAAGAAGAAGCCATCAATCACCAAGAATTTGCCTACAACATTTAAGAGGGTACTTCACCAACATTAAGGGTTGAAAGTGAAACCACCTTCTTCTTCACTTATGAGGTACCATTATGCATAGTCATCTAATTAAAAGTATAACGCAAGTTTAAACTACTTCAAGCATAAAGTAAGTTTATGCCATCACTCATTACTCCAAGATGACTAACTGATAACATAGATGGTCTATTGAATTAATTTAGTTCCAAAACCAAATATTTGAAGAAAAAAAGAAATGGCCAATTGGCTTAAAACTGGCTCTTGTTACTCTAGACCTCTTTACTATTTTCTTTTTTCAAATTCTTTCTAGATCTCATTGAGCCAATCTCAGCATTATTAATATTCTTACAAAATAACTGGCAAAGCTGAAAGTATAATTTTTTTTTTTTATCACAACTTACAATCCTCACTCTGAAAGTAAAATAAAAAAATAGGAGGAGAAGAAGAAGAAAGAAAAAGAAAAAAAAAATGAAGAAATGAAAGAATAGGCTTAGCTCCTGTAAAAAATAATAGATGATTTTCACCCAATGAAACTAAAATATATTGAGTTAAGAGTCACAGGGGTAAAGGGAAGAAGACAAAAAAAAATTTGACTCTAACCCATCCAATCAAAATTTTAATTTATTATAATCACCTTTGTTTGTCACATCTATTTTAAAATGAATATACAATTGTGCCTACAGTGTCTAAATTTTAAAATGAAATTTTTAATTGATTATAAGCACTGGTAGAGTTATAGAGTGTGAAAAAAGTAATAGGCAAAGTTATTTTATTGAATCAACATAATCTAAATTTTTCTTCCACCCCCAAAAAAGAAACTCAATAAATAAACTTCTAGTTCCCCAAACAAAGATCCAAAATTGTGAAGGAAAAAAAAAAGCTCACATCTATTTTAAAATGAATATATAATTGTGCCTATAGTGTCTAAATTTTAGAATGAAAATTTTAATTGATTATAAGCACTGGTAGAGTTATAAGGTGTGAAAAAAGTAATAGGCAAAGCTATTTCGTGAAACTCCTCCAAAAAAGAATATACAAAGTTATTTCTCTTCCACTCCCAAAAAAGAAACTCAATAAATAAACTTCTAGTTTTCCAAACAAAGATCCAAAATTGTGAAGAAAAAAAAAAAGACTCACTTATTGCTCTCCATTTCTTAAAACATTCACTAATAGACCCACACAACACTTCCATTCATTGTATAACTTGAATTTTTCAAGTCTAATCAAAACAAAGTAAAACATCTTGTTTTTGAAAAACAATAAAATCAAACATAAAGGCATTCTAAAATTATCACAATGATTATCATCAAAATTGTATGAAATTCAAAAATTAAAATAGAAGACCCAAATTATCACCATAAAAAAATCAAGTACTCGCTCTTCTTGGTTCTGAACCTAGTTGAAGAAAATTTAAGATTCTTAATTTTAAATTTAAGATTCACAACATGTAAAAATTTAAGATTCTTAATTTTCACAACATGTAAAATGAAGCCAAGTTGAACAATAGATAAGAAACAAATTACCTAATCAACCATTGTAGCAAACAAAGCCATAACAACTTTTCATGAGCTAATCAAACGCTCCTTCGCCAAGGCATATGTGCCTGAAGCAAAAGGAAGAATAGAAAATATAGGTAAGTAAGCTCTATTATCCATTATCCAAAATCGACTCCCTAAAAATTGCCACTGTTTGTTATTAAAAATAAGATCCAACTCCCACTGTTTAATTCACCAATTTGAATATACCTCTATTTTTGTTAACCTTACCAAATATCCAAGGCATGTATCATTCACTATTTGGGGGGGAAATGTAGAAAATGATAGATTCACTCACTAAGATAACTTTGATCAACTAGGACATCCACATTACCAACACTAAGTGCATTCAAGCACTGTTAATCAAACTCTCTATAGGAAAGGTTGTTTAATCATTTACTTGGCATGTCATGATAGATTCACTCACTATTTGAACAACAAAAAAGTATAATTATATAAGCAGTAGGTTTAACCAAAAGAAAATAAACTATTTTCATTGAGGCATTTTACAGAACATCCAAATTTTGACCGTTAAAAACAACCGCCACAACTTTCTAGCAAAATTTGCAATTAGTTACCTAACCAAAACTAATGATCAAGAAGATAACCAACAATTTTATAGCAATTAAGATAGACTCACTCCAAAATAACAACAGCAGCACTTGTCCCAGAAATTTCATTTTCTTTACTGTTGTTGCCACTTTCTCGACAACCAAGCAGGACTGAAATATTTCTATGCTGATAACAAACAAACAAATAAAAATAAAAATAAAAATAGAAAAACAAACCCAAATAAAAAAGAAGGGGGGGAAAAGTGAGAGAGAGGAGGCAAAGATTGATTATCATATCAAAATCCAAAATCCAAATAAAAACCCTAGATTCTTCCCCAAAAAAAAGAAAAAGAAAACAACAGGGAGGATAGCTTCTACCTTAGAGCTGTGTAGAGAGAGAGGAGGCAGAGATTGAGGCAGATAGTAGAAATCACCACCGGGGCTATAGTCCGGAAATCACCATAGGAGATCAAACTTGTAGAGAGAGAGAGCTTGGTGGAAAGAGGAAGATGTGTGGTGGGAAGAGGAAGGAGAAGAGGAAGAGGTATGCGAGAGAATGGAGTTTCAAATTTTGAAATCAAAATTAGAGAGAGAAAGAGTGAAGATGATCCCAGATTTTGGAGATTCAATTTTGAGGGTGAGAAAAAGAGAGAGAGAGAGACACATTTTCACCCAAATGATCCCAGAAATACCAAACTAATTTGAAGCATTGATATTCACCCAAAAAAAATCTGAACCATTGAAATGTCCAAATGAGAGAGACATTTTCAACCATTGGATTGAATTAATTTGATGGTGTATATTTTGACAAATAGACAAAAGTCTCATCAAAATTCAAAAACCCTTCTCCCTTATTATATAGATAGGACTATCAATTGATAAAACCAAACGACACTAACTCAATTCCAAAGCCCTTGATTCTAGAGCTTATTGTACCAAATTGAACTCAAATTTTCAATCTGAATCAAAGAATCCAATCTTCTATTTCACAACAATCAAAATACCCACTTAAGAACTATATATGGGCCTATGTGACTTGAAATCAATCTTCCTATGATACTTCCCTATTCAATTCTTAGAATTTTCAATTGTTTGGTTGTGTTAAACTTGAAGATTTGCGGGACTTGTACTTGAAGATTTGTTGCCATTTGATCCAACAAAAGACAAATAATAATATTTATAAAAAAGAAAAACTCTGAAATTAAAGCTCTAGTCTGGATGTAGTGGTGAAAGGAATCTAGACAGGACTATTAATGAATCCAACTACAAATAAAACTTGCTCTGATCTAAATGGACTTCAGTGGGGTCAAATATTGACCAGTACTTCTTTTTAATTCAATTTTCTATAGTCTTGTTGTTATCCATTTCCTTTGTGTGCAATCAAACGAATACATTTGGAAAAATAACGTAGCACTGTGTTTGGGTCACAAAGTTATAAATAAGTGGAATTTAAAAAAATAAAAATAAAAATAAAAATAAAAATAAATTTAACACTAAAATAAAGTTAAAAATTAATCACAAAGCTGTGAAAATTAATTACAATGTGAATTGAATTCAACAACATTTCGATATGTTGATTGATGCAATACCCTCTTTTCCTCTTTTCATTTTTTGATCTCATTTTTATAGTTGTGAAAAATGACAGTTAACTATAGGATTTGCCACTAACTATGATTCTGAATAGTGGGTAATGTTTTACTCTTACAATAAAATCATGTCATGTGTCTCACTACTTCAACTAGTTTGCCACCATTTAGGGCATTTCAATGAATTAGATACTCATAACGCTGGCCTACTGGGTAGTGATCAACTCTTGTAATAAAGTTTCACAACTCTTAATACTTTGTAATGAGGTGGCATCTGTCTCTTGAATTTAATTCACTATCCACCACTAACCTCCTACCAAATAGAAGATGCAGATATTCACTTAGATCAACACTTTAAAATATTCTAAAGTGCTTGTAACCGTATATCCTGTAACAGTAAATCTATAGCTTTATCACGTGGCATGTTCGCATAAACTACTATTTTTGGATATAGACAATTATTTTCCAAACAAAAGCCTCAAAAAATTGTCACTACCACCTATAAAAATTAAACCTTTATAAAAGAAAATCCAACAATAAATCGTTCTAAACAAAATTCAATCACAACATCAACAAAAAAAAATCACCAACAACAAATAACATAATACCTAAACACATTCAAGATACATCAAACACCCTCTATCACCATGGAATCAAACCCTAGCAGACATATGTCTGTATATGTATACATGGGTGTATAGTTGTATTACCGGAATCGGAATCGGAGTGTCTGTGAAGCTTTACGCAATCAGAAATGCGATCTAAAAGGAGTGTTCTGAGACTCTGATATTGCCATTGAGGAGAATTGAGAGTCCATGGAATTGAATTCGAATTGAAAATTGAAGAGTTGAGAAAAGTAGGGTTTCAAAATTCCCACGGATTTGCGACCGATTGATGCTGTAAGTTCAGGCGTCGTGAGAAGCACGGGTGATGAAGGATTGGACGAAACCAATGCCGAAAAAACCGAGGAGGTAGATGAAGGAAGCGATGAGGGAGGCGATGGCAGCGAGTTCGGAGAGAGTGACGATGTGGAGAGGGGTGGAGGAGGTAGTAAGCCATAGAGAAGAAAAGTGTGAAGAAAATGCTGTTGGTCAGGTGTAGAGGGAGAGGCAAGGCATTAGAGGCTTTTGGGATGAGCTAGGAAGCACGGATACGGATACGGGATACGGATACGACACGATACGGACACGGCGATACGGCAAAATTCGAAAAAGTAGGATACGGATACGGCGGGGATACGTTCATAAAAAATATTTTTTTCCACAATTTTTAGTAATGTAGAATACACAAAAATAAAACTTCAACAATTTTTAGTAATAGAACATACATAAAATAAAACAAAATTTATGGTAAACAAATAAAACAAATATTAATGTAACACATCACCCATAACAACCATAATACATCACCCATAACAAAAAATTCATGAATTCAATTAAATTTCAACAATATAGCATCACCCTCACCCATAACATAACAACAATAATGCAATTCAATCCCATAATTTGAATAATTTAAATTAACATGTCTTTAGGTGTTTATTTGAATAATTTATTTATTTATTTGTTTTAACCCTAAAGTTTATTTATTTATTTGTTTTATAAGTAATTTGAATAATTTTTAATAACTTTATTTCATTTATTTATTTGTTTTATAAGTAATTCATAAGTTTATTTATTTATTTACTTCATTTATTTCATTTATTTTTTTTTAGAGGGATATATATTTATTTCATTTATTTGATTTTATTTACAGAGTAACTAACTACACATAAAAAAATTTAAAAAAAATAAATAAATAAATATGTAAACACAGACACGACGAAACAGGGGTAAACAAAAAATGGTCTCTCTCTCTCGATTAAACACAGAGACGAGACGACGAGATACAGATCGACCAAAAAACAGATCGATCGAGAGGACGAAACAGATCGATCGAGAGAGAGGACGAAACAGATCGAGATTATGGTATACAGAGATCGACGAAACACAGATCGACAGAGATCGATGCAAGAAAACAAACAGAGGGAGCGAAAGGGAGAGAAAGATCGACGAACCTGATCGAGAGAGAGGGACGACCGTCGAGCTGCTGTTCGAGATCGACTGAGAGGCAGATCGGTGGACTCCTCCTCTCCTTCGCGGGTGCTGTTCGAATTCGACCTAGAAGGTAAGTTAAATTATAATTTTTTTTGTTTTTGTTTTTTATTTGATTTAATTTTCATATTTTACATTTTGGCCCCATTTTAAGTTTTTTAAATTATTTTTTTGCCACCGCCGTATCCATACCGTATCACGCCCGTATCCTGACCGTATCCTCCCGTATCCGAGACGTATCCGAAATTCAAAAATTTTAAAAAAAAATCGGATACTCTATTTCCCGTATCCGATACGTATCCTCGCGTATCGGGCGCGTATCCGTATCCGATACATATCCGATACGCATACGTGGCCTATTTTGGAGTATCCGTGCTTCATAGGGGATGAGGAGGATGAGAGAGAATCTGTAGAGCAGCAGATGTGTTTAGCTAGACGTGGGAGAGAGAGCAAAGACTTGTTGGGGTGGGAAATCTATTGATCTGAACGGTTGATATAAACGTGGGATTAATCTCAGCCATCAAATTAAAATGTATCTCACATACATTTTATACATTTTCAAAATCCTTCCTCCCTTATTATATAGACTAGCGTATGCCCGTGCCTAAAGATACGGTGTAAATAATATTAAGATTAAAATGCAGTTCTAAAAATATATTTAACAGACTATAATCTACGACAATTGTTTAAAGCCCTTTAGCGACAATTGTTTAAAGCTAAATTCAAGTTATTAATTTAGAAAATAAACACATATGTTTCAAGTTGTACGCATATGAATAATTGCTTCAGGAGTATCTTGATGAATTTTGGCAACTTCTTCAAATTTTGGAAAGGCTTTTGCAACAGCCTTAAAGGATTCAGGGATCTCTTCACCACCTTCCGCGAAAACAGAAAACAAAGTGTCTGTTTGTGTAGCAAAAGGATTGGTCCAACTACTGGAACATGGATAATCCGTCGGAGCTTCTGGGTCAGGAACATAGTCGGGATCATATCCAGGGGGATAGTCATCATCATCATCAGCCTGAGCAGGAACATCCTCAAATCGGATATTACATGTTTGATTGGTTGATGTGTTGTGTTCAAGAAACAAAAGAGTTTCTTGGCGATGAGATAGTTCATCACGAACACTGTTTTCGTCATCTGAGTCCACCATGATTTCATTGTCATTGGCATCATATTGGACTGGTGCTGATTGTTGGGCATTAGTATGATTTTCCATTATCAAAAGTGATTCTCTATAATTGCTAGACGACACTATGACAGGTCATAGGATAAGGATAAGACACTACAAAGCTTACAAGATATGGACAGGTTCCATATTCGAGTAAGATATGGACAATATAAAGCAGAAATTCAAACACAAGATAAGAATATAAGAACTAGAAAAATATTCGGACCTGTATTCAAACTTCAACCTTCAGAGATATTACAAGCGGACTTCTCAAATTTTCAAGTTTAGTTTTTGGAACTTCTCTTGATGATTTGAGCTACTGGTTTCACTACCTATTTATAGAGAAGATAATGATGAAATCAATAATGCCGAGTGCACAGAGGGGCCTCATCGACGCATTATTCAGATTTTCCATTATCAAAAGTGATTCTCTATAATTGCTAGACGACACTATGACAGGCCATAGGATATGGATAGGACACTACAAAGCTTACAAGATATGGACAGGTTCCATATTCGAGTAAGATATGGACAATATAAAGCAGATGCTTGATTATGACAGGTTCATAATTCAGCATAAATATCTCACAAGACG